CAATTTTTAGCATAAGGATTTTAGAAAAAAGTATTGTCTTATAGTCGGAAAAATACGGTATTCAAAGAAGCACTGCCTTAATTTACTCACTACAAACGAGTGTGGGAAATTCCTCCTACAGTTTCCAGGATTCTGTATTTACCACAGAGCAGCATTATAGAGCCCTTACTGAAATCTGTTTAGTTTTTGCTTTCTTGATCTTGCCCAGCTGCGTGGGTCCTGACAGGAATACTTTATATCTGTTTAAAACTATCCTTACTCTCCTTCAAAACTAAACTTCCCCTGGCCAGTAGAAATCCCTACTGAATCCCATCCCTAGCAGCAGATTGTCTGGGATGCATAATTGGAAAGGGACACACAGTGGAGCTGAAGCAGAAAGACTCTCCAGCACATCTATGAGCAGAGGCCCTGGCAGAAGGATGGACTAATTTAAAGACAATGACATTTCTTTAGTTTCTTTCCTGTACTGGAACACAGAACCTCACACTTCTCCCAAGCATTTGCTGCATTACAGCAAAAATCAGAGTCCCTCTTGATTCCTGGTGGCTATATGGACAAGTCCATGGTTTTCTAGACAGCATTGTGGGAAGTGGTTTGCCCTCGCCCCTTTCCTCCTAGGTGGTCCCAAAGCCATCCAGGTGGCCTCCATAGTCTCCAGTTTCCAGTCCTCTTTATAAATCAGTAATCCACAATGCCTATTTTCTGTACCCTCTTCCTTGTATGGTAAAGGAGCTTGTGCATCCCAATGATGCTCTCAGCTTTGCAACTGGAAGTGCAAACCCCCAAAGGGTCTTAGACAAGAAATCAGCCTGAAACAATCCAGTGGAAGAAGACCAAATGAACATACACAACCAAGATAATATTTGTATGAGACTGGAAGATGAGCCCTCGGGCCAGAAGGTATGCAATGAGCTGTTGGGGAAAAGCAGAGGACAAATAATCACAGGTATTTATGATGTGGCTGGATTAAATCCCAAAGGACGTCCAGCTGCTGCCATCAGAGGAGAGATGGATATTCTAGCTATCGGCACCCCGAAATGGACTGCCACGAGTCACTTCGTGCCCAAGGAGCACCAGGTGTCATGTTGCAAAAAGCAAAAGGCAGCAAAATGGCAGTCACTCAAAACAGACGAGGGAAGATGAAACGCACGAAACCAAAGCAACAGAAGAAAAATTACCTAAGTGAATGCCAAATGCCAGAGAAGAACAAGAAGATATGAGTTACATCTGAACAAGAACAACAATCAAATAGGATTTACGAAAATCAGAGAAATCAAGGGAACCTCTTAGATTGGCATGGTAAGACAAAGGCAAAGATCTAATGGAGAAACATATAAAGAAGAAAAGGCATGAATGTACAGGAGAACTACAGAAAAAAGATTCCCAGTCCCACTCAGTACTCAAGTACTGTCCCAGACGTTTTTGAAAACCAAGTTAACGAGCCCTAGAAAATAGTGCTAAGACAGCTGCAGGAACTGTTCTAAAACCCTGAAAGTTGATGCTGTTACAGTGCCGCCCAGAGTTTATGAGCCAGTGTGGAAAATACAATACCATAAGAAGAAAGGCAGTGCTAAGGAATGCTCAACCTATCAAACAACTGCACTCTTCATGTTTCCACAAGATAATGCACCAGATTCTTGCAATCTAGGCTTCCACAATACCTGGAGCAACTGCCAGAAGTACAAGCTGGTTTCCAAAGAGAAGGAAGCATTAGGATCACTCTCCACGTGTCCAATGGAGCAAGAGAGTTCCAAAGACACGTACCTTGTTTATTTATTGATTATACAATTACTTTTGGCTACACAGACCACAGTCCTTAAAAACATGGGTGTACTAGACCCTCTCATTTGCAAATTGAATAATTTGTATGCTGACCAGGAAGCAATGGTTAGAACAGAATGTGGATCAACCACTGTCATCCATTATATATGTGAAATGTATCTTGAGAAATGCTACACTAGAACAAAAAGAAACTGGAATTAAAATTATTGGAAGAAATATTAACAACCTCAGAAATGCTGAGGAATGTTGCAAGATGTAAGAAATCTCCCAGTCATAACATGGCTGTGAAAGTTGGACTATTGAAAGGATGAACGAAGAAAAATTGACCCCTTTGAACTGAAGAAAGTTACTGGAAGTGCCTTGAACTGCCAGAAGAACAAATCATTTAATAGTATGTGGAACAAAATCACACAACTCACTGGAAGCATTAATAATCAAGCTAAAGCTTAAATAGGGGGACACGGTGGCGCAGCGGCTTAATGACGCTGAAAGTTGCCGGCCAGAAACGGTCGACGCTTCAGCGGTTCGAGTCCAGCCTTCGCGTTAGCAGGGTGAGCTCCTGTTTCCTCCCCAGTTCCTGTAAACCCAAGAGTTTGAAAACTCACT